TTGCACAGGCTGCTGAAATCTGAAATATCCGGAGGAGAATCGCCCCCCTGTCATTAAACCCCATCTGTCGCCAGGCATGACACGGGCGGTGGCAAACAATAAATTGATTTAAACGACTTTCTGGAAGGAATATTTTTTAAAAATTGCAGGCATCGGACCTGTGATCGAGGTGGGAAAAGCCTTGGGACTGACTAATGTATAGGTTACCACAATTTTGTGTGCGTGTGCGTGTGTGTGTGTGTGTGTGCGTGTGCGTGCGCGCGTGCGCGTGCGTGTATGTGTGTGTATGTGTGTGTATGTATATGTATAGTACATGTTTATATATATAATGTATATGAAATGGAATATATATATATATACACACACATATACAGTACATGTATGTATGTATGTATATGTATACGCACATGTATATGTACTGTATATGTATACGTATACGTATACATATACGTATATGTATATGTATATGTACAGTGGTGCCTCGTATAGCGAGGTTAATCCGATTAACCCTCGCTATGTGAAAACATTGCTGTACGGACCGGGGAAGCCCATTGGTATCTGTCGCCAGGCATGACACGGGCGGTGGCAAACAATAAATTGATTTAAACGACTTTCTGGAAGGAATATTTTTTAAAAATTGCAGGCATCGGACCTGTGATCGAGGTGGGAAAAGCCTTGGGACTGACTAATGTATAGGTTACCACAATTTTGTGTGCGTGTGCGTGTGTGTGTGTGTGTGCGTGTGCGTGCGCGCGTGCGCGTGCGTGTATGTGTGTGTATGTGTGTGTATGTATATGTATAGTACATGTTTATATATATAATGTATATGAAATGGAATATATATATATACACACACATATATAGTGCATGTATGTATGTATGCATGTATGCATGCATGTATGTATGTATACGTATATGTATATGTACTGTATATGTATACGTATACGTATACATATATGTATATGTATATGTATGAAATGGAAATATCTGCACCTCTCCAGGGGAGAATCGCCCACCTGTCATTAAACCAACGCTGACTCTATCTGTCGCCATGCATGACACTGTCGAAACAGCTGTGTCAAAAAATGAATTAATTAAAACAACTTTTTGGAAGGAATATTTTTTAAAATTACAAGCATCAGACCTATGAGGGAGGTGGGAAAAGCCTTGCGGGGGTGACTCATGTATAGGTTACCGCAATTTAAATATATGTATATAGTTGCCCTGCTTCTGTAATAGCGCCCGGAGGCACTTCCAGAAGTGGGCAGAAAAGCTCCTGTTCACATCAGTGGGACAGACAGGATGATGGGCCTGGCATGCAAAAGAAAGGAACCCTCTGACTCAACGGATCTGAAAAACCTGGATCAAAATCATATGTCTCTTATTTTTCGCAATAATTCAAAGCGAACGGCTTGTCGTCGTCGTTCCCCCCCCCCTCCGGGCCCAGCCCGGCAGCCAAAGTGGAAAGACAGAATATGAATAAGATAATCATGTAGGAGGTGCTACCGGATAAAGTGCCACCTATTAATAACACTGCAAGCAGGGCAAACCTTGCCAGGTCAAATATAATGGGGAAGGTTTTTCATCCTTCTGCCAAAGGATCAGGTGTGTTCTGCCTGGAGCTGGGTGGTAGGATTTGTTTCTCTCTTGACTAAGAAGCTTCTCCTGAGCACCAGCCATGAGTTTTTGGGAGATCCTGCTTTGGACGTCCTTAGCATCCCTCTTGACGACTCTCCTGGGCGGACTGTATGCCATGGGGACCTTCCGGGCGAGAAGACCCAGGGAGCCCCCCTTGGATAAAGGTTTCATCCCATGGCTAGGATATGCTATAAATTTCAAGAAGGACCCCGTCCAGTTTCTGCAAAGGATGAGGAAGAAGCACGGGGATGTCTTCACCGTCCTGGTGGGTGGCAACTATCTGCACTTCGTCATGGACCCTCATACCTACAGGCACATCGTAAAGGAGCCCAAGAATAAACTGGATTTTTATATGTTTGCCTCTGTGATTGTGTTCAACGCGTTCGGTTTCCACTCCTCCGAATGCCACCATAAGATCGTGCAAACCTTCAGCAACAAGTATCTCAGCGGTCAGAACCTCTCCACCTTGAACCAGGTGATGATGGCCAACCTGCAGAAAGTCCTCTTTCATCGCCAGGAGCAGAAACGGTCCTGGCAGCAGGACGGCGTCCTCCACTTCAGCTACAGGAACATGTTCCAAGCGGCTTATCTGACCCTGTTTGGGACCGAGCCAGAGGGAGGCGTAGAGAAGAAAGATGCTCTAAAGGAGAATGAGTTGACACACTATGGCGAGATGTTCGAAGCTTTTCAAAGATTCGACCGTTTCTTTCCGCAGATGGCCTTCAGCCTGCTGGATCCTCTGGGCAAGAGGGAGACGCAGCGGCTGAAAAACATCTTCTGGGACATCCTGTCGCTAGAAAAAGTGTACCAGAAGGACAACATCAGCAGCTGGGTTCTGGAGCAGGACAAGCGGATGGCCGAGGTAGGCATGACAGAAAAGGTGAGGACCCGGTTCTTGTTTCTGCTCCTCTGGGCGTCTCAAGCTAACACGGGCCCGGCGACCTTCTGGATTCTGGTGCATCTCCTGAAACATCCAGAAGCGATGGAGGCAGTGAGGGAAGAAGTAGACGAAGCCCTACGAGAAGCCGGTCAGGAGGTCAAGCCGGGCTGCCCCATTGGCAACGTGACCTTGAGTGCCCTCAAGACTCCCTTTCTGGAGAGCGCCATAGAGGAAACGTTACGCTTGAAGACATCGCCGTTTCTGTTCAGAAGTGTGATGCAAGACACGGATATCAAGACATCGGATGGAAGAGAATACACCTTACGCAAAGGAGACCACCTCCTTCTTTTCCCCTTCCTCGCCCTGCACATGGATCCAGAAATCTACCCGGATCCTCACGTCTTCAAATATGACCGGTTTATCAGCCCAAACGGCACCAAGAAAGAATTCTATAAAGACGGGATAAAGCTGAAGCATTCCACCATGCCCTTTGGCGCCGGACCCTCCATGTGTCCCGGGCGGTTCTTTGCTATGAGTGAAATGAAGATATTCGTGATTCTGATGCTCACCTATTTTGACATGGAACTGGTCAAGAAAGAAGAGGAAATTCCTGCCATCGACGCACGGCGCTACGGGTTTGGAACGGCACACCCTTCGCACGATATTCAGTTTAGATATCGATTGAGGTTCTAAGGGGAATCCTGGCTTCCGTAGCTTGCCAGAACATTGGGCTGACCAGTATATTGCAGTAAGTTACCGTTCAGTCCTTGGTGGACACATCTATAAAATATTGGTCCGAATCCTCTTGCCCAGTTATGTTCACTTGGCACAACGGGTGTCACTTTGGGAGGTGAGTCCCCTCCCCCCCCCGAGTAAAGAAACCACTGAAGGCACAATCAGTTGCATATTCAGTGGTTTGTCTCAAGATGCTTCTGATCATATCCTCAGTGGTTTCTTGACTTCAGCCAATTTGGCTCCCCTTGCCAAAGTTACGACCCTTGTGTCGCCCTGCAAGAGGGTTCCAGCTGGCAGTTTATCCTCGAAAAAAAAATATCTCAATACAGGCTGCCAGTGTTCAAGGGAGCCTCTGTACCATTTTGCCTAGATGTGCAAGAAAAATTAAATAGGGACATCTAATCCATGGTGTGTGCAGACCAAATATTCATAGATTACAGCGTTTTTTTAAAAAAAATGTACAATGTGAATGTGCAAAATAGCTGATATATGATGTTTCTCCTTGCTCTTGATGTGTTCACTGAAATTCTCTGGACTAACTAGGAGGAGCAATGTGATGGTCCGGGAGAGAAACCCTTTTGCTTATTTCTTTCTGTGATGTTCCCACATACAGTGGTGCCTCGCTAGACGATTACCTTGCAAAACGGTTTAATAATAATAATAATGTATTGTCATTGTAAGTATATATACATACAACGAAATTCACAGACACCCAGAGACCAGACACATGCACACACAAGACAATGAGTTTTTGCGATCACTATAGCGCTTCACAAAATGGTTTTCCCTATGGGCAATTTTTGCTGGACAATGTTTTGGTCCATGATTCACAAGATGGTTTTTTTTTTTCGGGGACATTTTTCGCAAGACGACGATTTTGACAGCTGATTGGCGCTTCGCAAAACAGTTTTCCTATGGGCGATTTTTGCTGGACAATGTTTTGGTCCACGATTCACAAGATGGTTTTTTTTTCGGGACCATTTTTCGCAAGACGACGATTTTGACAGCTGATTGGCGCTTCGCAAAACAGTTTTCCTATGGGCGATTTTCGCAAAACAACAATGATTTTTCCCCATTGGAACGCATTAAATGGATTTCAATGCATTCCAGTGGGGAACCGCATTTCACAAGACGATGTTTTCGCAAAACAGCGATTTTCGTGGAATGAATTAACATTGTCTTGCGAGGCACCACTGTACTGTGGATTTTTCTGGCTCTCAGTGCAAGAGAGTTTGTCAATGATGCAAGAAAAATCCCATTCATTTCTAGACATCAGAGTGTGTGATAAAACAGGATTATTTTGCCCTCATGCTGTTATGTGGCCCACAACCCTCAGCATATTCTGGGATGCTAGGTGGCTACAATGGGTATTCTTAACAGTCCATCCCATAAATCTTTGTTCTACCAGTCTTTACAACAGTTCTGTCATGACGGATCTGGAGATGGGAGTGTGGGATTAAGAAGGACGGGAGGAAGAAAGAGAGAGGGGGGCAACCTTGATTTTGGGTGTGTGTATGTGTTAAAAATAATTTCTGGACAGCAGCTACCAGAATCCCGCAGCCAGCATGGTCAGTGGTTGTGTGTGTATGTGTTAAAAATAATTTCTGGACAGTAGCTACCAGAATCCCGCAGGTCAGTGGTTGTGCTGACTGGTGGATTATGGGAGTTGTAGTCCAGAAAACATTTCCTGGCTCTGATTTCCGACCAAAAGTAGCCAATGGCCAAGTGTCTTCTTTCAGATATTTTAGCCAATATGGAATGATGTCCTTCACCAGCGTGGTTGTGCTGGCTGGGGGGTTATGGGAGTTGTAGTCCAGAAAATATTTCCCGGCTCTGATTTCCGACCAAAAGTAGCCAACGGCCAAGCGTCTTCTTTCAGACATTTTAGCCAATATGGAATGACGTCCTTCACCAGCAGCAAACTGCCACTAGTAATTAAAACTTTCTTTTTTCCGTTTGGGGGTGTGTGCTGGACCCTAAGTACATAGGCTGGGGGGTTATGGGAGTTGTAGTCCAGAAAATATTTCCCGGCTCTGATTTCCGACCAAAAGTAGCCAACGGCCAAGCGTCTTCTTTCAGACATTTTAGCCAATATGGAATGACGTCCTTCACCAGCAGCAAACTGCCACTAGTAATTAAAACTTTCTTTTTTCCGTTTGGGGGTGTGTGCTGGACCCTAAGTACATATTTTAGGATTTTAGGACTTGAAATGCTTATCTTACTGTTTCAGCTCTTCTTTTATGGACTCTTTTGGATTTTCAGTATTATAAATTGCCCTGCATACATTTCTCAGCTGAGGGCTATATAAATTAGACTCGTAGGTAGATGGGTCGATGGAGCAATATGTAGTCTGAATCAGACTGGGGACACCAAAGGTATAGACAAAACAGTTCATAATGCTGTTGAAAGAAACCTTGATGAAATAATACCTGTATCCCACAACTGCTGTATTTTTGGCAACCTTTTTATCATTCTTGGTTCCAGACTTCTCCTCCTTTTGTAATTCTAAAAGAGTGTTTTGCTGTTTCTGCATTTAAATTCTATATATGGTTTCTATAACTAGTGTGTAAAGCTTGCATTCTGATCCTGCAGGCCCTTCTCTTCTGCCTTATTAAAATGGGATCCAAATTTCTCACATGCTGTTTGATGCTTTTTTTTCCCTCCATGGTTAATGAAACTGCTGTACTTGCTTTTGAGCGAAGCATCATCGCAAGCTCTGCGAACTTTAGTAACCCCGATTTGGATGGAGTCTCCTCGGAGCTCTCATGCAAAACTGGTTCACGCTACCCAGAAAAACTGGGTCATGCAACAACATCTAATAATACGGTGCAGTTTAAATGCAAAGAAAAGCAAAGCTTTTGCAAGTTTCACATTATACTGCAATATGTAGTCAATTCGTATGATGAAATATGTCTGCTAGAATAAAAACCGTGGGATTCCTAGTCAATTTGTTAGGGCTAATGCTAGAATCACAGTGGCCGGTGCCACCCTTAGCTGAGCAAACACAATACCCAGTACGTTTCAATGCAGGAGATAATAAAGATCTAAGAGGAAAATAATAATGTAAAGGTTGGGAAAATATTCTTCCTGCTAGCTCTTTTTTATTATTCCAAAAAAAACAAAAAAAACAAAACAAAAAACACACACACAATGGACTCCTGCTTTTGAAACTTGGTTAAAACATCTAGAACGTTATGGGAATGTTCATAAACACTTTTTTCTTCTTCCTGCATCTAATGCTTCCAGACCAGGTGTAGATTTTGAGAGAAAGTAAGGATCCCTCTGCCAAGAAATCCCAGTTCTAGGTTGGAGCTTTGCAGATCCTCTGGACCATCAGCAAGTAGATCCCAGAACATATAAAGGCTGGACTATTTCTGGAGGCATAAATGTTGAAATTGAGGCTGTCCTCTTTTGGGTGCATCCTGAGAAGGCAGGGGGATTCTCTGGGAAAGACAATCATGCTAGCAAAGGTTGAAAGCAGCAGGAAAAGAGGAGGACCGAATACGAGACAGATTGGCTCCCTAAAAGAAGCCACAGGGTTGAGTCTACAATTGCTGAGCAGGGACTGTTGAGGGCAGGATGTTTTGGAGATTGCTTGTTCATAGGGTTGTCATAAGCACCAGAGACGACATGATGCCGCAGAACAACAATAACAAGAAGCAAAGAGGGTTGCAGCCCCTTGTCAAGGGGGAATTCTGAGTTTGTTTGCAGAAATCTGAAAAATATTATATATTGAAAATTCCGGAGGGGGGCATCTCACTCCCCAATACACACTCCAAATATGTTATCGTGATTTCTGTATAATGAACAAAAGAGACAAAGCTGCCCAGACTTGGGTCTAGATGAGCGAGGCATAAATTTAATAAATAAAGAAATAAATAAAACTAGACGTCAGTGGTGTGTTACAGACATAAACGGATACTGCCTTCAGTTTTAAAAGCACGATTTTTGGGGAAGAATGGTCCTCCAGAAGCAGAAAAGACCATGGGCCACTTTATAATGAGTCCTGAAATGGCTGAGAAGTAAAATAATGCACGTGAGCTATATTTTCCAGCCCTGTATTTAACAACAACCACAATAATAACAATGCCACGGATGTGTGTGTTGTGTGCTATCACGTTGGAACTCATTTTTAGCAACCCTAATAGGGCTTTCAAGGTAATTGAGATATTTAAGGAGTGGTTTTACTGGTTCTATACCTCCAGTGAGTTTCCGTGGCTCAACAGGGAATTCGCACTCAGACCCCCAGAGCCGTAGTCCATCCATTTCATCTCCCGGATCCATCATTGCGTTAGGTTTGTGGTGTCATTTGCCACGGCAAAAGAACCGGGCCAAAGTGATAAATCAACTTTTATTGTACCAAGCCTAGGTGTGAGTCCATTTTTTTTGTCTCTTAGACATGGGAATAGTTGGGTTTTTGGACTACAGCTCCCAGAATCCCCCAAATAGCATGGCCATAATGAGCGGTTACCTTTAAAAACAAACAAAGCACTACAATCAATATGTTAGTCATCAAACAAATTACTTTGAAATTTCCTGTTTTTCCTTTGGTGAGCTCAAGATGTATATGGTGCTGGATCAGGCAGACAAGGAAGACTTAAATCTTTCCCCTAAACTGGATTATATCTACAGTTTTGCCCCTTCTGCTCTGGATTTCTCAAAAAAGGGGGTAGCCCCCCCATTTTTTGCACTAGTGGACTTTCTTTCTTTCTTTCTTTCTTTCTTTCTTTCTTTCTTTCTTTTCTTTTCTTTTCTTTTCTTTTCTTTTCTCTCTTTTTTTGCATCATACATGATGATGGGGTGGAGAAGAATTTTTCTCCCAGAGAATTTCATCTCTGTTTCTTGTGACAGCCTGACCCCATCTTTGCTCTCCTTCCGTAATCAGGCCAAAGACCCTTTATCTTCAGGCAGGCTTTTCCTTAATAACTGGCTGCCCGAATAGGCGTTTTGAATGGTGT